GACATATTTATTTTAACCTTTGCCCTGCGTTTAATTTATTTATCGGTAGTATTACTTTCTGGCCTCTTTAAGGCTTTTCACTTAAAACCCACCCTCATATTCATTTTCTGTTTGGTAGCTTCGGAATTTAAATTAACGACGTGCAATGTTTTGTCAAATGACCTGTGGGCATGAATGCCAGCAGAAATGGCTCAACAGCTACAATGCAAATGTGTAAATGCTCCCGAAAACTCTGGAAGGGAAAGCTGCGAATTGCCTTGCTCCGCTCCAGCAGCTTGAGGAGCTGAAGTTAGGCCCTCCTGGGATAAGAAGAGATGGAAAAGTATAGTGGGTATTGCTTTGCAGCATCACAGGCGATTTTGTAGTGCGAAGAGGGAAGTTTAAATGTCTGTTGCACCCCAGGCTATCACTTCTGAGAGGATTTTTTTGTTGTTGTTGTATTTTGGAATTGGTCGTTTCTGTTGAGTACAGTTTTACAAAATCATACAGAACAACCTCTCTTAAGAATCATGGGGATAAGTTAATCTTTCCTAAACCCTTGATCGTTTAGGTCATGTTTAGGAAGTGACTGCAGTCTGGCATTTCTTCAGTTTTAAGGGGGATATGTTTGGAAGCTCTTGCTTGATAAATGCTTTCATTTAAATGCTTCTTCAGGGCTGACAGGCGTAATCACCCACGGCGTGATCTTGGTAATTATGGATAGCAACAGGGCATCTTTGTTAGAACTTGGTGCTAAATGAAACTGCTTTGATTAATTGTAAATCTGTAAGATTGTTCCAGTGTTTCGAGCTGAATTTTCATCTTTATCAGTTTAAGTGCCCACATAGGAGATCAACTAAGGAAATTGAGTTGAGGCTAATAGTTAACAATTTACCGTACATCATGGATTTTCGGTCAAGTGATAAAAGGCTGGCAGGAAATGAGAAATTGATACCTCAAGTAAGAGAAAACATGTGTTAAGTGTAGCTTTTACAAGATTGTTTGATAAATTATAAATTGGTTTAGGCAAAGCACAATCCATGCTGACATATTTCGGTTAGTTTGAAGCTGATAACACCAGCACTTGAAATAAGTTTATACATCTGGAGGCAGATCCGTGGCCAATGTAAATTGTCATAGCGCTGTTGACGTTAATTGGGTTCCAGCAATTTATGCTGGTGGAGCGTAAGCCTCAGTGTCTGTAATAAATAGTGTTTTGTGTTGGTGGAATATGAGTCCAAGAAGGGGCTGGAATTAACTGTGAAGGTGTAAGTAGACTTTTGTTAGGGACATGGGATTTTAAGTAAATGATTTCTTTCCGAAGCTTAGTTTGTAGGTATTGAGACATGCGAGTTACCTCATTTGTTACTTTGCAGGAGATGTTAAAAGTTTTTGGGCCTAAGTTATGTCCTCATTCTGCAAAAGCTTTTGCAAACGCTTAGCTTTGGGAGTAATTTGACTGATACTAGTAACACTGCTCACGTGTTGGGATCAGCATGTGCAGCCTTGGACCCTGAAAAACATGTAAAAAAACCTTTGTGCAGTGCTTCAAAGGTCTCTTGTCTATAAAGCAAGAAAGGATTTTGTTTTAACTTAACTGAAAAGGTGCTTCTAAAGCTTCGTGATCAGAGGGTCTGGCCCAGCAGCACAGTCCGTGTTGTTCACCGAGACGGGAAGCAAGCCACCCGCGACAGCCCCGCGGTACTGCTGCTCAAGTACTGCACTTCCTAAATCAAAGGTTAGGATTAGAAATAATTGTGTTACTTTCTGTTGCAGATCCTTGTTTATATATTCCTCGTTTTGCACACATGCTGGAGTTTGGGGATAAGAACCACGAGGTATCCATGACGGCGCTCAGGCTGTTGCAGAGAATGAAGCGGGACTGGATGCACACCGGCCGCCGGCCCTCGGGGCTCTGCGGAGCAGGTATGTCAGATGCTGGGTGTATTGCTTCCCCCGCAGCGTCTCGGACAGGAGAGTCTGGGAGTTGGGAACAGATGAGGAGTTTCTCGGTGATGCCACGTTCTCTGGGTTTTGTGCTGTCAGGCACCTCCAAACTATATAGATCTTAGCTGAAATAGTTCCTGAAACTCAAAATTTTGTTTTTGCCTTTGCCCCTACATTACTTGCTTAGATCCTTTGTATCTTAGATTTTGGATTTTTTGACCTCCTTTCTGCTGCTCTTCTCACCTCTACTCTCTGCGAGCTCTAGCTGCTAAAAGGTTTTTTTGTCAGCTAAAATGACACCGTTAGTGCAAGCGTTTTGATTTGTCTTTACACAGAGTCTTATGCAAGAAATGCCCTCATTGACCTGTACTGTGAGATTATTTTCCTATCCTTCTTCATCTTTTTGCAAGATCCATTGCTGTCATGATGCTTACAAAAACCTACCAGTTTGGGAGGACTAGGTTAAAAGGTAGTCAGTACCAGCCAGTGAGGTCAGAGTAACAAAGAGCACAGATAGTCACAGAGTTCATGTATGCACTTTATTTTATTTGAAAGATCTTACACGTGCATGCTGTAATGAGAAATAGCACTCAGACCTTAGGGAACCCAGGACTATGTGATCTTCTTGAAATTTCTAGCCTGTTTTTGTTAATAGTACTTGCTTATTGCACATTGCTAAAAAATTGAATATAGACTCAAATGGGAGAGCAGCTGGGTCTTTGATTCACTACGCAGACTATATCCACACAAGAATTAGTTTGATTCAACAGACATGGATCAGTAGATTGAGGCAGGTGGTGCCAAGTCCCCTACGTCCATCCACGCAATATACAGTTCACGTGGTGCACTGTGGACTGGCTTTAGTTTGGTTCCCTGGCCTAACGTCTGTACCACATGTTGTTTGAAGGACCAGTTGTTAGTTCAGCCGCTGATGTTGCTGTTAGAAACCAAGGCCTTTAAACACAGACCTGAAGTGGAGCTGTGGTTTAGTTTCCTCTGAAAGGAAGCGCTTTTGTATGCGTAAAACTGTTCCACACACTGACCCACTGCATGATAAGTGGGAGAGTGGGGGTGAAGCTTCAAAACAGAGCTAGTGCTCTGAATCAACACACTAATGTAAACACAGCTCCTTAGTTAGCCTTATAGAAAGAAGGTCTTGCAGGAGAGCACTTGAGCACTAGCAAGACAATGGTTGTGGTGACAGTGATGAGGATAACAGCTTAAGCAGATCCAGTGTTTTGCTGGAGATCTTTTTATTCAGGACTAGCAAATTCTGCTCAAAAGATGGTAACTTTGAAAACACATGATCAATGAGATGTTCTTGTGCTGTATTTTTACGTAGCTGACCATGGTTTCCTAAATGTCAAAGCATAGAATTTTTCAGGGTGCAATCTACCATCAGCTTAATTTTATTGAATAGGAAGCAAAGTTTGTTTCTAAAGTCCAGTTAGTCACCTGCATTCAGGCACGTAGCTGAGCATAAGCATTTACAGCTCTTTAGCTGAAGGCAGGGGCAAGGAGAGGGTATAGTTAGTTATCTGACTGTTTTCTGCTCTTCTTCAGGAAATTTTCCTCTTTTTGACATTGACTTTCCCTGCTTATTCTCTAGCTCTGCTAGTGGCAGCAAGAATGCATGATTTCCGACGCACTGTTAAAGAGGTCATCAGGGTGGTCAAGGTTTGTGAGTCTACATTAAGGAAAAGGTCAGTGCAGTTTTATTGCTTTTATCTTTCATTTACAATACTGAAAAGTGGTGTAGTCTAAAATGAATGTATATCAGAGAAAACCAGGTTCTTTTCCTTTTCAGAAGTGCCAAGAATAAAATAAGTACAACATGTTTTAGCTGGTCATTTTAACACCTGCCTCTTACATAAGTCCTCAAAATGCCTAGCAAAGATGGTAAGGAGCACTGTGCCCATTTAACAGGTGAAGAGTTGAAGGCAAAAAATGTTATGTCAGAAATGTTAACAGTGTTGTCATGTCCTCAGAAGAAATAATTGATTGATTCTCAAAGCTGAGGGTGTACTGTGGGAATTTTTTAATTTTTATTAATCCAGAATACAGTGCTGAAAAATCTTGTCTTTTAGCTGTTATTGAACAGAACTTTTCAAAATATTCTGCTGAAATGTTCATTTTTTATAGTGTTGCACTGCTAATAAATAGAAGACAGTGCAGTGAGTCTAATGAGATAAATTCACTGAAGGGGTCTGAAGGGACTATCATCAGAATGTGAGCCTGAAAGTGGGAATTTCCCAAGTACCTTTGGCATGGTGTTGTTTTTTTTAAATATCCAGTAGCATTTTCCATATTTTGATGAAGTAAGCAGTCACCCAGTTTCCCTCATTTTAATTTGGAAAAGTTCTAACTTTTTCTTGCCCTGTAGATTCAGTAAAAAGTGACCTAACTGTGAAATACCATGCTTTCTCTTGCCCCCAGTTGGGAATTTTTGTACCACCAATGAGTTTTGAAGTTTGTTCTACCAAGGTTTGTCTTTAGAAAGCTCCCCTGCTGTCTCTCTTTCTCTCTACCTCGCTGAGAGCAGCTTAAGCACATCCAGCCATGTCTAATACTTGTTAATAATATTCACTTCTTAATTGTGAAAAATGTTTTTGCCTTGGATCTTCTTTGTGGAACAGGAATGATGCTATTTCCCTACCACGCATGGGTGGTACAGGGATAAATTTAAAGTGTTTGAAGTGCTTAAGGTGGTACAACAATAAGGAGAGAGCAATACAAGTGCCACTTTTTTCCTCTGGTCAACAGGTCATGTGTTTTAATGTGTATTTTGTATGATTAATGATTTGTGCACCCACAATCTGCTTCAAGGTGCCTTGGTTAAATAGTTAAAGAGTTTGTTCTTACTAAGAAAATAAGCATAATAAATTAGAGTTGGAAGGAAAATTAATTTGAGCAATTGTTTCAAGTGAAGAAATCTTACTTCAAAATTCATGCTTTGAAATGTTTACTCAAGTCACACACATCAACTAAAATGACAGCGTTATTTACTTTGACAGGGTAAATGTGACAGCTGAATTATTTTCAGGCAGCTATAATTACAACTGTATTTATCACGAATCTATAAATTTGATTGATGTTTTTCAAATAAGAGCACGTTATATAGTGTTTAACGAAGGCAAATAAAAAAAATACCTTTGAGTAACTCTTTCTGCACTCCAGTCGATTTTCCTCTTCTTTCAAGAATTCCTCTCAAAATGCCATCGGGTAGCAGTTCTCTAAATTAATAAGCACTTGTTTCATGTTCTTAAAGATTTCTTTGCTTCTCAGTTTGTTGTACAGTTTTATTTCCTTTTATTTATTGCTATAGTTACTCTGGTTTGTAAAGAGTGACTGCTGCTTTGTGAAGGTGTTGAGTGTAGTTGGATGAACGCTCATTAACGGACGATGTTGGATGCTACACTCACTGCTGATGGCTTTACCCTGACTGCTCTTGAAGTGAGACCAAACAGCCCAGATAAGGCTGAAATGTCCAACCTGCAGGTTCTGCTGTATGCTATGATTTAGCTCCCAGTTGGCTCCATGGCTCCTAGAGAAGCACAGACCATTGGAAGCTGGATTTGCTTTTGGTGACGATGGATTTCCATGGCAGAAATCTGGGAAGAGGTGGTACCGACATGAGGTGCCTTCTCCCCGTGCCCTGCGGAGGGACAGTCCCTGGGGAACGAAGCTGATGGAGGGTCTGGAGCACATGTCTTATGAGGAGCAGCTGAGGGAACTGGGGTTGTTTAACCTGGAGAAAAGGAGGCTCAGGGGAGACCTTGTGGCTCTCTACAACTACCTGAAAGGAGGATGGAGAGAGGTGGGGCTCCATCTGTTCAAGTAACAAGTGATAGGACAAGAGGAAATGGCCTCGAGTTGCACTAAGGGAAGTTTAGATTGGACATGAGGAAGAATTTCTTCACTGAAAGGGTTCTCAGGCATTGGAAGGGGTTGCCCAGGTCAGTGGTGAAGTCCCCATCCCTGGAGGGATTGAAGAGTCGTGTAGACATAGTGCTGAGGGACCTGGGTTAGTTGGGGACTTGTCAGTGTTGGGTTAATGATTGGACTCGATGGTCTTAAAGGTCTTTTCCAATCCAGGCAATTCTGTGATTCTGTGAAAGGGAGTCTGGTTCAGAAGGAAGCAACAAAACATGGCCCATGGATTCTATCACTTCTCTTCGAATCAAGAGTTCTTAATTTAACTTTCTGTTTGGTTAAAAACCAAATGTGTGTTTATTTTTAATACGCATGGATTTTTGGTAGGATCTTGGTAGGAAAACTTTGTAGTTACTTCACAGGGCATTCTAGCTTCATGTTTTGAAGCACATAATTAAAATGTAAAGCTTGTTGCTGTTGTTGAATGTGAACGTATTAAATATTAATAAGTGCACTGATAATTCTATCTCATTTCCAGTCTAATTGAAATGATATTAACTTATATATAACTTTATATATTCTGAGTTCTGTATAAATATTAACTAATTAGTGAAATTGTTATTTTCTATGTAATCATCTGTGGACACAGCAGAAATTAACTTTCAATAAACCCAACCCTTTTATTTAGTTTAATCCTCACATTTGTGCCTGTGTTAAATGTACCTGTCCTTGCTGCTGCCTTTGTAACCTTTACGTACTCTGCCCCATCATCTGTTTATTCACCTCTTGCATACTTTCTCTGCATGCTAATTCTGTCTTATCTGCAGTAAGAATAATTTTTGTTATATTTGTCCATTGTGCATTATCTAACACTATTTGGCCCTTATGCCTGTTTGAAGATCTTAGGCACTTCTTCAATAGAAAAAAAAAAAATCAGCTTATCTTTGTTAACACTTGCATTTTACTTCTTTGAGTTACTTCCTTTATCTTTAAATTGAGCTGCTTTTTACATAAAAAATATCTCTTCAGTTCCATGAAGTACTCTCTGTTAAAAAACCTTTTTGTGATGAACTTCAGAAGTAAAACTTCATTTAGAAGGAAATGGAATGAAAGGCCAAAATGGGTTTTAAGGGTTCATTTTTGAGGTGAATGTTTTTTCTCACAACAAAATAGCATTTTTGGAGAAGGGAGACAAGACTTGTTCTGAAGGAACTACATTTTCCAGTTGGAGATGCTGCAGGTCCTTGCTCATATCCTACAGCTCTTTCAATGACTGTGTTTGTAATTTTCTGGAAAAATTAAAGATTCATGCTTAGAGATAAATGTACTGCCTGCAGCTTTTCTTACTTTCATTTCTGCAGTATATAGCTCACATAAACTTCCTGTCCAAGCTCCCAGTGCAGTCTCAAGCCGAGTGGGCTTCTGCAAGCACAGGCAGAATCCAGGATCCAGAGCTGGGATGGGAAGAGAAGGTAACAGGGATGCATGTGCACAGCTGCGAGGTTGTCTCCTCCAAAACACAAAGTCGTATCAAAGCCAGGACTGAAGGGAAGGATGTGAAGAAGTCTGTGTTTGGCTGTGGTCCAAGTAAAGCCGTGCTAAAATCCTGTGAAAGGTACCTCATGAATTAAGTGAGAGCTGTTTACCGAAGGTGTTTGAGCATGGAGAAGGGTTGAGGATGCTCAGGATGTCAGAGTTGTGTAAGTGCTCTTGCTTGAAGTGCAGTATGGAGAGAAGCTTTCAGAAAACTGGGCAAGTTACTTCATGTAAAGGAGCTTGTGGTGGTGTCGGCTCTGATCTCAGACCAGCAGCCGAGGAGCTCCTTCACTGGCCACTGTTGTGGTAAGCTAGGAAACTAAATTGAGAAATATTTTATGTCTCCAGTTAAATAATTTCAAGTGGCTTATAGATGATTTCTGGAAATTTTCCTAGTATGGTGAATAAACTACAGCTTGATCCATGTGGCTTGTTGTTGCATACCTTTGTAACTTGGATTGCCTGTTTTAATGAAGAAAGGTTTCATTTTTGAGGAATCCAATTTTACAGGCAACGTTCCTTTTTATAAATCTGGCTTCTAGATAGCTAGTAAGCTAATACATTAATTAGACTCCTTTTATATTTTAGTACTTCATACTTATTTTAAAACTGTAATTTCAAAATTATTTGGTGTCTGTTACTTTTGATACAATAATTAACTTATTAGCACTAACTCGGGCTTGGATCTTGTAAACATTTTTTTCTGTGTTTGACTTTCCTCATCTGAGCGGCTGTTAGGAAATTAAGCAACGTGCTATTTTTCTTTTCCAGGAGATCACAGAATGTTTTTGACAGACCACAGTGGAGGAACCATGCTAACAAAACAAAATTTGAAGGAATGCTAAAGCATTTTGTTTCATTAGCATGGTGTGAACACAGGGAGGAAATAATAAAGAACAAAAAATTCCAGGTGGTTTAGACTGGCAGACTTCTGGGATGGCCAGGGAGATTGTTGGTGGGATTACTGGTGAGCTGACCACGTGCAGAAGTGTTAACCTGAGTTAACCACAGGTATAAGTGTTTGCAGAATCACAGCTTTGAAGTTTATGCTAATAAATTTGTGAATAATTTTAAATTTCTGTTTTGATGTGAGCAAGTAAAAGCAACTATTTCTAAAGGATGCTTTTATTTAGAACAATAAATCTTTCAAGGTGCTCATTCTTTAATACTTAGAAAAATGACAGAGAGTTGCCAGCAAACGAGCACTGTAAATTATCAGTCACCAATTAATTTGCAGTAAATGTGTGTGTATGCTTTTAGTCTGTTACAAAAAAGAGGTGCAATATATTAATGTAGTACACCATGGAAGTTGTTTAAATGAAAATATTTCTCTTTACAGTTGCATTGGTCTGATTATACAGACAGACTAATTTAGCACAGCTCAGGTGATAAGTTGTAAGTTGTAAAGCCACAGTAACTGGATCATCTCTAATTTTGTCCTTACCTTTAGTAATGAGATATTCATACAGGCTTAAAAAATCCCTTTTTTATATTGCTCCAAGTACAAGTAAAATTCTATATACGTACAATGATTACGTGTAAGAAGATTACACTTCTGTTTATTGACATACTGGTGGATACTGGAAAACTTTTTTTTTATGTCATGTAGGAAGCACTTAATAACTATTTCTGATACATGTTCTGTATTAAGTGTCGCTTTCAGGATATGTGTTTACATACTTCCATAAAGTGTTCATGCATAAACATTGTATGGCTTGGAAAAAAATGGGGAGAGAAGGATGATGCAGTAGACTGATAAACTTGTAGTATAAGAGATAGTGATGGTTTGGCACATCAGTGCAAATTCTGAACTACTCTCCTGTGAGGGAGTGCAGAGGTTTGGAGTGGTGAGTGGCACTGCTGAGCCTTAAGTTAAAACAGTGGGGATGTACTGCAGCATTTTGGTACTTCACTGAGATACAAAAGCAAATCCCTTACTTTTCCAGAGTCTGCAAATCAGCTGATCTATTACTAGAGCATGTGTAACTGATATGACAGTTAAGATTATGTAGATACCATTTATGTTATTACTTAGGGGTTTAATTATATTGTTAATTTAGGAGAAATAAGGGGAATTTAATTACCACCATCAGCTTATCCTGCAATAAAGTGGGTTTTTTGTGTATTTCTGTGAACAAGATGCCAATATTCAGCTTTTTTTTTTTTAATCCATTAATAAAATATTTTAAGTACTTTAAATAAACCTCTCACAACAGGTAACTTAAAGGCTGTCTGCTCAGGCTAAATTTCACATTGACTCCTTAAAAACCCAATTGCCTCTGAAGTTATAATTCGTTTGCCCTTTTTGTATAGAGGTCCAGCACAAGATACCTCTGTTCTTGTGTAACTTGGTGCTGATTGTGTATATGTAGAAAGACACCATGACATTTCCTAAATGGTCTCTACTTAGAGGTTCGTCTTGGACTTTGAACTTGGACTCCTGAAGACGTCCTTTTATGTGCTTTGTCACACTTCACTGCTGCAGAATTTCAGTTCAACATGAAAATCAAGCAGTTAACTGCACTTTGTTTTCCCTTAGCTGTAGACTGGATTCGTAAATCTTCACTGGATGGTATCCCTGAAACAAAACAAAGTGAAAAAAAAACATTGCTCAAAACTTCAAAATGACTGACCCAATTTCCCTTGTTGGGAGCTAAATTAAGTGTGAACAGAATCAGTTTACTGTTTTGTGTACAAAAGTGCTTTATGAGAAGATGAGGTGTGGTTTTGTCCGTAAACAGATGGAACAAAAGCCGTGGAAATTTTTCTTTGAATAAAAGGGTTGGGGTTAGGGGCAGATGACACCAAGCTCTGGAAAAACTCTTCTCCCAAAGGAGTTTGCTTGAAAGAGTTTGCTGTGAGAAACTGTAAGAGGAGGGTTTATACTGGAAGTTGAATCTTAGCCTGAGCTGTAGTGGTTGCCTCTGCTTCGACTATAAATAGACAATATTTGTCTGCCAAATTTCAATTTTTAGAGCCCTTTTGAATTCGTGCCAAGGAAATAATATCTTAATTTGTATATCTGTTTATTTTGTTTATTTTCCTCCTTCTGCGCATAACTTGAAATGGCAACTCTTATTAGATTTTTTTTTTTTAGAAACAAAAGTGCAAAATGAACTTGGATATAATTTTTATGTGGAACTTAAAAAATAGCCTGTAGCTATTTTTTTAATTTTTTTTTTCATGAGGGCACTCCCTTGCCCCTGAAATTGTTGTGCTTATAATTAAGGTTGCGTCAGTTTTTCTTAGCTGCCAAACTAATGTTAGCTTGTTTCATGCGGTGTAGGCTGCTGGGTGCATCAGTTTGTTGCCTTGGTGGCATGTGTCCAAACACTGGATAAAATTAAAGAAATGTTTAAAAATACGTAGACAGGATATCGGCCAATGTAAAATGTTGAGGCAGGCAAGTGGTTGGCAAACGCAGGTATTTATTTATATCAAGTTCAAGGAGAAAATATCGAATGAGCAGCTCGCTCTTCCACAGAGATGGTGTTCAAACTGTGATCCTGACCATCAGCGATGGTTCTTCGTTTCGAGAGGAAGGCTAGAACCTTGTGAGACCAGTGAGAAGTGAAGAAATAACGTGCTGCTCGATATTTGGGCTTGCCACTGGCCTGTGCCTACACCGTCACGCTGGCAGCCCTCACTGCTGGGTCCTCAGCCCTTGCCCCCTTCGGCTTGGGTCAGGGCTGAGGAAGAGGAGGGCACGGGCATGGGACTGGATGCTGGTGGATGGGTTGGATGGTTGAACCATGCTGTGCTGTGGTTTTGAGCTCCTTGGTAGCACCACCAGCAAACACGATGTAGCTCTGTCCTGTCCTAGTGCAGATGCACTGAAGGTCTTGGGAGAGACCTGTGCTGCTGTTTTAGCTCGAGGCTGAAGCTGGTGTTTGAGGCAAAGCTCATGTTGGCTTACCTGTGGGCTAATGTGTGGTGGGTGCAGGGTACGTGACGTGAGTCACACAACATGATGGACAAGGAGAGGGACAGACAGAGCCTCAGGTGTCCTCAAGAAGAGACGTGCAAGGGCTTAAGTGCTGAAACCCAAGCGTGGTCATCTCATCTCCAGCCTTGCTTCATGAGCGACTGGTTTTGCTACTGGTGGTTTCTACATTGCTCCGCATGCCCAGAGGTGTTGCTGTTTTGGCTGGGCTCTGCTCACCTCAAACTCAGAGCAAGCGTGGTGTAAACAAACTGGGCGTCTTTGCCAAAGTGGGTGTTGGCTTTCTGCAGTGGGAGGAGAATCACATTTTAAGTAGGTGAGGCTGGTTGAAAGGAAAAGTCTTGCTGAAGTGGGACTACCTGTGAGTGCATGATTCATATGTGGAGAGAAGGATGTTTAATGATGGTGGCTGGGAAGATCCATGTTCCTGAAGTGATGTATAGATTTGGCACTAAATGCATCCTGAATTAAAAAAATAATAACAATGCCCAGCCAGGTTTCTCCTCTAGCCTGATAGATGAGGCTCCCTCCTGGAAGGTGGGTAATGCATGCTGGGAGCCTGTTAACTCTGAGAAAGGTTTCTAGTCTGTTAATTAAAAGCTAGGTGCTGCTGCTGCCAAAAGCATCCTCCTCTCCTTTCCAGTTTGATCTGAAAGAGAGGAGGAGGGAACTGGTCCCTGGTACTCTGAGTGAAAGTTTTGGGTTGTCAGTCACTCTCAAATATATGGCTAATTTAGGACTTTGTGGAGATGCCTGAACTCCAAAAGTGAGACTAGGCTTTCTGAGAAGAAATTCTGACTGGCATAGCTGTGGGTGGGCTCAGCATGCTGCTTGCTGGTGGTTTCATGTAGAGCTGCCCGGCTCTTCCTGCACATTTCACAGCAGGAGATGCCGCGTGTGGCCTGAGGACTGAGCTCCAGGAGCAGAGTGCCTCCAGGCAAAGTGTCCTGAAGTTACAGCATGCCTACATCCCTTTGTGTGGGCAGTCTCGTCTTGCTCCTCAGTGTGTAAAAAAAAAAAAGAAATACAGGTACTGATAGGATACAGGGACAGAGCACGGCGAGGTGCTCTTGGCTTTGACCCTGGAGTTGGTTGGAAACTGAATTTCTGCCCTACAGAAAATGCCTTCTTTGGAAGGAGCTTTGTTGCAATCAGAGGCAAAAAAGAAAAACATGACTGCGTTTTAGGGAGAAGAAATGCTGAAAGGGCCTGTGCTGGGAGTACTGAATCACCATTTTTAGCTTCCTAGCTTTGCAGATGGAAGCTGTAGTCAGCTTTGCTTCCTCTGGAAGATGGGAATCTTCTAGTGGAGCAGCTGCAGACCCATCATTGCCATTTTCCCATGGAAAATGCTGATATTGTTAAAAGGACACTTTCTGTCAGAAAAGCATTCTGCCAGACATTTCCTGACCTGGCTTTGTACTTAACCTTTTGTCTCACTTTCTCCAGCTGTAAAATGGATGTGCTCATTCTCAACCACCTGTATAAAATGTTGAAATTTGTGGATGAAGCTATGGCAGTGTGGTCTCATTTCAGATTCAGTTCCTTTGAAAGATTCAGCTGCCTTCGTGGCAGTTCCCCATGGAACTAGTCCCATCTCTCACATAGGCAGTGGCTTTTAAAATGCAAACATTAAACAAATACAAAGTATATTATTGTAAAATTACATGGGTTCATCTCTTCTGTCTGTGCAATGAGCAGACAATCCCTTTATTTTACTACTGCTTCTGTGTGTCCTGGGAAGATTACTTCTTGTCCCCTTCCAGTCTGCTGAAGATGTGTTACTTTAACATTAGCTTTGCATAAATTAATCGTGCTAACATAACAGGAATATTTTTGAGCATGCTCCTGAACTATGATGGCAGATATTTTAGTTTGGGAATCTGTTTTGTTGTTGATAACAAAAGCAATGAGACAGCTGCGTTTCCAGTCTCAGTTTTGTCAGTCTATACTAAATTGATCATAGTGGCTGCGATATTTCTGTTCAGTCTTTATTCATTGAAAAACGTGTGTGTTACATGCTCTAATAAATAAAAAGCTAATTTGTGATATGAAAAGATACTTTCTTTGCAGCAGATGAAACAATTAGTATCACTTCAGTTTCAATGTAGTCTGCATTTGAGCCAGAGTTTCTAAGGATGATGTGCTTATTCTGTTAATTTAGCAGTTCGACAAATTTTGTTACTTTTAAAGAAGTTCTTAAAGATGTTATGATAATGTGCTGTATGCTTTGGTAGGTTGACAGAGTTTGAAGATACACCAACAAGTCAGCTAACCATAGATGAGTTTATGAAGATTGACTTGGAAGAAGAATGTGATCCTCCTTCATTTACAGCTGGTCAAAAAAAATTGAAGATACAGCAGGTGAATTCTAAACCGAATGCTCTCTGTGTTTCTTTCCTCTGTCTTCCCTTTGTATATTCCTTTTTGAAGCAGTTAATACTAAATCCTAACTGACCAGCCTTTGGTAAGATTTAATTACATTTATTTTGTGGTTCTTTAGGGAACAGCGAGCATTAGTGCATATCATACCCTTTAACTAAAGGGTATTTTTTTTGTTTTACTGACAAAGGGATAGCTTCTCAGTTAAAAAAAAAAAGAGAGGTTTTTCTCCTGTGTAATTCTTGCTCCCTCCTCCAGTGAGACCTGCTCTTTCAGATATGTAGCATCAAATGTAGCTTTAAACATCCCCTGATGTGGGATCGAAGTATGTGTGCTGTCTTAGCCAGCCCCTGAGGGACGTACAGAGTCCCTGCTCTTGTTAGTGCAGATGGGGATGTCTGGGTGGCCCAGTAGATGGGCACCAGCTGAGCTTCCCTGCTTTGCAGGATACCAGTGTTTGGTGCTCAGTCCACGACTGCTGTATTGTGGATGAGGGCTCAGCACACTCTGCCCAGACTCCCCCCCATTTGCAAGCCGATGCAGTTATACTGAGCACTGTCATCTCCTTTATGTTTGCTTTCCTGCTGCACGTGTGTTTCCTTTCTTGTGCTCTGACCTTTTGCCAAAGCATCAAATCTTTTTGTTCTTACAAAACTGGAGTCTCTCATGTGACAAGTTAAGCTGAGCTTGTGACATGGAGTCGTTGAGTAGCTGTCCTCATGTCTGCGCTTCTCTCCTGTGTGCTGTATGCGCTCTTTCACCCTGGTTAGCAAGGATCAGGCTTGCAAAGGTGTAAGCTTTGTAATTGGATCAGAAACTGCACTTTTTTTAAGGTGATACCTATGATCAGGAGAAGTACCATTACATACAACCTCTTTTTTAAACACATATGAAAACAAGAACCCAATTACTTTAACGAGACTGCTGGTTTTTTGTGTGGTGCAGCACCTGCTTCCGCAGAGATTAGTTCTCATGGGGCTTAATTTCTTTACAAAACATGAACGAAAGCTGGCACCAGAGGAGAAGATTTTACTACCGTCTTAGCCAAGTCTTACATTATTAGTTTTTCAGAGGTTTTGTTTTTACTGTTCTATATATGCTATCATTTAAAGGTCTGTGGACATGTTATTAATGTTCTCAAGAGCCTTGCCAGGTGCTGTAGGTCAGTACTTCACTCTGCCATCACCCGTGTGCTATGTCTGGCTTGGGCACTGCAATTTCAGCACTGTGCTTGCACTCGCTCACATCTACAGGCACAGTACAGTCATGGAGTCTGACTGCTGAAGAGTTGGTCTTTTTATTTGCAGCTTGCCAGAGTGAATGTTCCTTTGGAAGTATAGAGATGAGTGAGAGAACATTTGAAATTGGTCAGTATTTTGAAACTTGTCTCTCTTACCTGTCTGATACTACAAGGTAATTTGAGTTGGGATTCAAAACCTGCTTATTGCCTTAAAATACCTTCTCCTGCTCTGTCTCTATATATAGTTCACAAACAGTACAAAGTTGTGGGATTTTTTTAGTAATTTCACGTTTATTTTATTTTCATTTCAGCTCGAGAAGGCGTTATCAAAAAAGCTGGAGGATTTTGAAGGTATAAATTGTGTTTAGTGTAACGTATCACTCATTTGTTCAAAATTACATCAATGATTGATGAATTTTATTTTTATTTCAACACCACAGGTGAAATATCGAGTTATCAAGATGAAATAGAGATTGAATTAGAAAACAGTAGACCGAAAGCAAAAGGCGTATTTGCAAATTTCACTAAAGATGGTAAGTCTGGAAAGTCTTGAGACTACGTAAATAACAACGGGTTCAGATCCTGCAGAAAATCTTAGGTGTATGAACTTTATTGTGATAAATGTGATCATATACATGCTTCCATAGTACGAGATCTCTGTTGTACTGGGGTTCTCTCTGCCAATTAGCTGGTTCAAGTATCAGTCTTCAAAGCAATTATGTTGTTCATTACAATGGTAGTTCATCAATGACTTCAGCTGTTTTTCTTTCCTGGTGCAGTATAAGCTTGGCACTGGCATCGGAAAATGTTCCTTTTAGTCACTGAAAGTGCAGTGGACCGGTATCTAGACCCTTCTGTCACCAACTGTCCCAGTTGACTAAGCTATATGGAAGGGTATTGTACAGGTTGAACTGGCTGTTTTTTATTTATAATTATACCAGTAAGTAGCCAGATTCTCTCACAGAGCCCTTTTACCTGCCATAATTTGGTAACACAATACTTCTATTTTAAATTATGACTATTCACAAAAATAAATTTTAATAGCCAAGGTAATGAATTTGAAGAGCATCTGGAAGCTCCATGTATTCATACATTGTACTGAAATATTATGTGTTTCTTCTACAGATTTTCTCTAAAGATTTTTATTCTTTAAGTGAGCACCCCTCTATTTAGGTAGCTTCTGTAACAGATGGTATGCAATGATCTGTTGGGGTTCCTTTTCCCCTTACAGATTCTATAGAAGATAGCACCTCTAGCATACTGAGAGAGGAGGAGGCAGAAGATGAGGAACTGGAAGCAGCAGCTAATCACTTAAACAAGGACTTTTATAATGAACTTCATGAGAAGGATAGAGTAAAAAGAAATGAAGATGGGGAATGTAGAAATGGAAATGCAGCTTTTGTGAGACCGCCGGCACTGGAATCCTTACTTGGCCCGCTCCCCACTGCAGCTAGTCTTGGCATAACAGAGTCCATAAAAGAGTGCATCTCCACTAAGGACCAAGAGCCCGGTGAGTAGATCAGTTCAGCTCAGACTGAAGACTGGACACATGCAGCCAGTTGTGGGTTTGTTGTGTAATTTCCATGTATCTTGATGGTTACTGTGATAGGAATTCCATGAATCACTGCAACATTGAGGTACAGGAACTGTGGGGCTGGGTGGGACCAGTGGTCTTGGTTGTTGATGTTGGTCATTGGCATCTGCTCTTCGGGAAGCTGCAGGGAAATCTGGAGTGCCTAATTATTTTCTGAAGCCTGAGAATGTGTATCTCTTAGTTGAGTAGATTTGCAGTCATACGATAGCTGATGGGCATATTTCAAGCTGTGCAGTCTCAATTAGGAAATTGGAGGAAGCAGATTCCTGTAAATATGACTGGAAATTAAAACCCAAGTAATGAGAATTTTAGATCACGACAGACTTTTTCAGGAGACAATTTGCTGGAGTCAAACATGATGCATTCCGTCTCTCTGATTGAGAATCTTTGCAAATGGCAAATATTGAAAATGTTTGGAAGAGGAAATAAGTGGTTGTATGCTTTTTTACTTTCGTATGTACTTTGGTTGTGTGTTGTGGTGGTTTTGCTCCATTTTTCTTAAAACCCCCAGATCTGTCTACATCATGTAGCTCTGTATAGTACAGTGGGAGCAGGACTGATGAACTAAGGAAGCCAAATTTGCCAGAGCCATTAAAGCAGACAGTCAGTCATCCAGGCAGGTTTGTTTGCTTTTTCTTATATGTGCTTGAGCTTTATGGAGATGGCATTTTTAAAAATTCCTTTGCATCTTAATGACACTGAGAACAGAACCTATCTAAAGGGCATTTTATTCTTTGTTGCAGTTAATTTTTCCATCACAAGACACACCTGGCTGAACTGCTTTTTTCAGTTTACTTGGGGATCGATGCAGCAGAATGTTTTGTTATCCAAACTGCTCTGATGCTAATTTCTGTTCAATGGCACCTGCTTAAAATGAGGTACTCCCTGCCTCAGTAGATGAACTGACTTCATTCACGTTCTTACTATGTTAGTGTTTGCATCCCAGCAATGTAGCAGGATGATTGTGTGTTTATATTTTGTATAAACATATAGGAACAGTTGAGTGGTTTTGGTTTTGTTCTAATTACAAGTAAGAAAACGGATGGCTCATGGCTCGTCTTTCTCCTGGAAATCAGCGGTTCATGTTGAAGAGAGGTCAGTAATGGCTAGAAGCTGTTGTTGTCTGGCTAGCCAGGACCTGTAAAAATGAGTTCCCAGTGATGGACGTTTCTCAGCTGGCATCGCTATTGACCGTTTTAATGGATGGGCTGAGGACTGAGTTTAAAGATGAAACTAAGCTGGTATAGGCAGGTGATGTTGCTCTGAGTCGGGCTTCAGGCAGGTGGGCAGGAGAGTGCATGGCTGCTCATGCTATGGCTTGTCTGCATTTGCTCTTTGTTTTCTTTCGAAAGTTGAGGATGTGCCAAATTAACTGAATTTCAGAACTGAGTAGGTTTCAGTATGTTCATTCTTTTCTAATGCATCTGAGAAGTCATTGTGGGTGTTTGAACAGGTGATTATTTTCTTAATATTCCGTGAAACTCATGCTGATTTACTGTTTTGGTTGTATTTTCATTGTAGATCCTGCCCCAAACTTCCTCTTTAATTTTATTAGCAGAGTCACTGCAAAATTTAATGTTAATAATTTAAGATTCATGTTCAATTACATTCACTTTGCCTATGTCTGCACTCTGGGGTAGTCATGCTGGGGTACAGCTCCCAGTCTCCAAGCCTATGCCACGCGATGCCTGCGTGGTGTGGGTGCATCATGGTGCACGGGTGCATCGACCCTCTGAGGACCTGGTTTTCTTCAGAAGTTCATCTGGGTTCAGGAGCAGTGAGGGAGCCTTGATGTGTTTTGAATGACTGGGAACCAGGTCTGACAGACAGGCTGGGAAGTACACCTGACTTACAGTTGTCGTTACTACACAGAGTAAAGAAAACCTCTTACTCAGGTGCCTTCCATTGGTCACCTGTGCATCTTAGCTCTGAACCCTGACGAAAACCAGCGTAGAAGTTTCTGTCACCTCAGGCGATGATGTCTTGAGTTCTGCTTCGTAGCACTGGGAAATCTGGGAAAGATTTCTACCTGGAGGTAGAATCTTCTTCTTTGAGGGCAACTAGTATAGTTGTAAAAATTAGACTATTTCCAGGTTTCCGGGCCCTTCTTCAAGTCTGAAAAAGAAATGGCAGTTTTCCGAACTAAATACAGGATGAGAGCAGTTGCTCACAATTTAATTTGAGATGGCACAATTATAGATCGTACTGAAACAAGAGTAGTTGGTACCTGTGGAGGGAAGAGGGAAAGATCATAAAATTTCCTTAATTTATCCTCTGTATTTGAATTTAGTTTAATGCAATTTATATTGTGAATCTCAGCTGGCCATAGGTTTGCTGTGGTATTTCACGTTCCAGTCCCTAAATCTATTGGAGAAAGGAGAGAGTCAAAATAATACTGCACGTTTAAGGTGAGGTTTTGGTCCTTTTTAACAGCTGTGTAAGTCATAAACCAGGAACCTTTTGCTTCCCTCAACCCTCTCCAACTCTGAGTCATCTTCCACTGTGTGGACCATCTGGATCAGGTTGGGCTGGAGACCTTAGTTGGGATGATTTTTTATCTCCTGGGGGGCTCCCCGTGTTGTCAGGTGGATGTATGATGTCTGGTCAGTGCAGTCACTGGAAACAGTATGCCTGGTGCTGTGTGGTGAGGATTCCCAGCAAACCCTCATGGTGATACAGTGTGTGGTTGGGCAGGTGGCTGTTAAATAGGAGCTCAGCAAGCAGGTGCAGCATGTGCAATGTTTGGCCTCCTTAAATATGGAGTATCTCCTCTCCTCCCTGTAATGATCTCTCTTCCTCAAAAAAACATCTTCATGATAAAAGTGCTTTATAGTGAGATCTCAGTTTCAGAGATGGAGATCAGGTACATCAGTCTGTCTGTGCAGCATTCCAGCATCCTCTTCATGCTCTACATGGGCTTTCTGGTTCTGCTGTTCCTCAAAACAGGGCACCATTTCCTGTAGGAGGCTGTCACAGTCAAACACCATGGACTTCGTTGTCAAGAAATATGTTCTTTGGTGTGAAATTCCCCTTTGCAATTTATTTTTATGTCACTTTTATACCACTTCAAATAATTTATCATCTTTCTTGGTGTGTCTGTCCTTCTCATGTTTGCTGGCTGTCACCCTGTCCTTCCCATGTCACGCTGCTAGGCTGTGCACTGCCAATTCATCTCTTCTTGCCACATAAATCGAAAGTCATAAACCTAGTTCTGACCAGAGCTAAAAGTGAGGAAAGTCTGATAATAACAGAGATAATGGTAAAATACAGGGTGTAAGTTACAAACTGACTTTATGTAACTTGCCTTTCCTAGTCTAGGTAGCGTTTGAGACCTGATTTAGTTTTTTGTTTTGAATCAAAATTCACATGCAGTCATTTAGGGCAGTAGTTTTAAATAATGTATGTGCAGCGGGTGGTGACGTGCTCCTGCACGTCCTCATGAAAGTAAGCGGCTTATGCAGTGAGAAATCACCAGGCATGTACCATCTTGTGCTTGGTTGGGCACCCAGCTAACTGCGTTTGCTGCTAATTTCACAAAGAATACATGAGAAAGGTTTTGTGCTTGTTCATAATTAATAGTTTGCTTATTTATTGCTCCTTGTGTTTATGCCTCCATTACGGCTGCAGGCATAATCTGACATGGGCTGAGGTCGAAAGATGTTGCCATTGATTTCTGTGGGTGTTAAAGACCCCATGCAGACAGTGTTCATTGATGGAATAGTTGTCCCTGTGTACCAGCGCTTCTCAGCTTCTTACTCAGGAGGATGTGAAAAGTGGCTGAAGGTGAACTTACATGAGACAGGGGTGGGCTCATCCTCCAGGGTCTTACTCTTTTCCCCCAGATTTCATCCTCCTCACCCGACCAGCTGCCAGCTCCCCCTTCATACTTTGTCCTTGGTCTGGGTCTTTCTTGATCCCTCTGTGAGCAGACTCAGCTCCCTAAAAGGGAAAATTCCCCTCCAGGGAAAATTCATGTGTGCATGATCCCCTGGGTTTTTTGGGGCAGCAGCAGATAACCAGTGCTGGCAGCACTGCTGGCAGGAAACTTTGCAGAAACGTGGCATTTCTAGCAGGATCTGAGCTGCTGTGGAAAGATGTTTAAGGACCCACAGGCTGCAAACAGCTGGAGAACGGCTGTTGGCAGCACGCATGCCAAGGAGGGATGTTTGCCCCATCCAGGAGCCCCAGCCTGTGGCGCGGGGCCAGCTCACTGCTCTCCTAATTGCTGCCTCATCAGTGGACGGGTGTTGACCCCCTCTGTGGGTTGGTTTATTCTTCTGGCATCCTTATTTCTTCCTCAGATTTTGTCTGAGTACATCAGTGCCAACTGTTTGAAAATATATAAATGTGTAGGTGCATCTGAAAGTATACAAAAAAATATAATCAGTAATTGGAGAGAACATTATGAAGCCCTATTAAATCATAATTACCACATACATGAGAAGTAAAGCTGCTGAGTTTAGTGCTAACTGTATTACATATGCAAAGTACACTTGGTCATCAATGCAAGTGTGTGTGTCCCCATCCTGATCGCTCTTCTTCTGGCTCTGCTTTCAATGGTGCAGTTGCTTTTGTGGTTTTAAGCCCTACCTGTGGAAGTGAGCAGTGACCTGCTTGGTGCCACCTTCCTTGTGTGATGCCTTTGGGAACACTTCAAGGTTTGATCATCATCTCCATGTCCCATTTGTTCACTGGAAAATATTTTCTGTGGCAGGACTAGCTCTTTTCCAATTTTAAGATCTAAGCAATAAAAACCCTGATACAAGCTAATCTTTCTAATTTGGCCTCTATGTGCCTATGGTTGGCAGCCCTGATAGACTGTACCCCTGACTGAGCCTTCGTTATGCTGTTAATGAGATGTGAAGAGCTTGCTGCAGCCAGCATGCTGATAGGAGACCACCAGCTGCTTTGAACGC